CAGAAGGTCTAGCGGCCTCATACAGTTTTGTTACATAGAATAGAACGCTGCTATGCTATACATATTGTCTGTGTGGCTGACCAAAGTCTCAGATTCATCAGTTTAATTTTAACCTGATAGAGCCAGACATAGCGACTGTGTAACAAGACTTCCGTACACTGATTTCGACATTCAAACTAATCAAAAAGTATTTAATTTCATAACGGTCCAAAACAAAAATCAATCACCTGTCCCCGAAGCTGCAATTAGACAAGGTCACCGGCCGGCCCGGCCCAGCCCAACCTGTCAGCCCGTAGGTTGCCGGTTCAGAGAATTGGCAGCGTGGCTTTACGGGTCGTATCCGGGTCCGATTTTCTTTATTTTGGTCCCGATGGTAGGGGACCGGGCTAGTTAAGGGTCACCCATAGGAGGCCCGCCGGCGCAGCCCGTTGACTGGCCATGTCTAGCTGCGATTGAGTGAATTAATGCTGGCCACATATATTTAAGAACAAAAAAAATAATGGAAATCACTATTTTAATTTAGGCAAATATGCATACAAAGGTACCACCTTTAAGGCTCTTGCAATTTAATCACCAATTTTTGTTGTTTGCATTTAAATCACAATCTTTCGTATGTTTTGCAGACTTCCGTTAGACTCTTCGTCTGTGCCGAGTCAAGCCACATGGACATACCGTCCGTGCCAAGTCAGCTCTAATCTAACGGAACTTAAATATATACTTTGACCTACAAATCATATGAAATGGAGTGATTTAAGTGCAAATAGCAAAAATTGGTGATTTGAATTGTAAAAACCTTATAAAATGGTGGTGTCTTTAGATAAATTTTGCCTTCCAGCTTGATTTGATTATAAATTATAATAGACATAAAAGAATAAAATGTAGAAAAAGCAGGTAATCAATAATAAATAATAATCAAGAGTTGCATATACACATACAAACAGCAGGCTTTCTTGGTTACTTTAGAACTATATATAGTACTAATCAGTGTTTTTTCCAAGCTAGCAAGTGCTGAAACATGTAGCCCAAAACTACATCATCATCTCCTGAACAACATAAATTATTACAAAAGAAAAGGAAAAAAAAAAACACTAAATCTTGATTCAACATCAAATTAGTTTTCAGAAATGGCCAAGCCCGGTCCATGCTTGAAACCCACTCCAGCTTCTGCCGCTGTTTTCGTTGTCTAAATCGTCGTCGCCGCTTGTGATGTGTCGAGTTTCAGCTGCATAACAACTATCATCATTATTATTATTATTATTACCAGTACTATTACCATTACTATTATTACCGCCGAAAAACCACTCAGTCGACAAATCCCCATTATTAATCTCGGACGAGGCCCCAATCACGGTGCATGACTCATCAGCGCTCGAAATCTCCATGTTCTGATACAAACCGGGCCGGGCACGTCCGGCAGAAGAAGAAGACGGAGGAACAAGCAAACCGGTGTCGTTGTTGTTGTTGTTGTGATTATTATAACCTCCGACGAAGAGCAGCCCCAACCTCTGCTGCTGCAGTTTCCAATGAAGATCCTGGTTGATGTAGCTCAGGGACTCGATCGAGGACGCCAGCGCCGTGGGGCACACGTCCTGAAACCCTAGTGCGCAGCTGGAAGACAACTGGAGTGCCGAGCTGAAAGAATTAGGGTTTAGTCCGCCGGATGGGATTGTTAGTCCGCCCCCCGGGAGTGATAAGTCGGTGGGGCTGGGGTTATTGGGAAAGTCGAGCTGGAAATCCATGGCAGGGGGAAGGCCATGAAAGAAGCTGAGGGGGTTTCCAATATCTCCGGCGAGGGGTTGGTCCTTGACGGAGGAGGAGGAGGATTTTTTGGTCTTTCGGGAACCGCCGCCGATGGGGACGTTGCGTAGGGCACCGCCCTTGGTCCAGTAGCGGCGGCAGGTCTTGCAGAAGTGGCGGGGCTGGGCGAGGCTGTAGTTGTTGTAGTAGCAGAACTTTGTGTTGGGGGAGTCGCACCGCGGGCACCGGGCGGCCGCCGGTTCCTGACGGTGGGACCGGGCTGCAGCGGCAGAGGATGGGGTCTTCCGGCTGGCGGCAGAGGGCTTCGGGACGGGCGGGGTGTTGTTGTTATGTGGTGATGACGTCATCATGAAACCCTAGGAGAGAGAGGGAGAGAGATGGAATTGGGTTTATGAGAGAAAAGAAAGAGCTAAGAAGAGATAATATTGGTTATGTTTTTTATTTCCTTATGGTAATTAATTGATTAATTGAGGATGGTGATGTGTGTTGTGAATTGATGTTCACTGGTTTCATGCATATATGGGGTGGGGTGGGGTGGGGTGGGGTGGGGGGTTGATGAGAGGATGTTGATGGGGGCTCATGTGAGCTTCATCAACGCTATCTATATTTTGGTTTTTTAGAGAGAGAAAAGGAGTTGGCTAAAGCCAAAAGAAGAAAGAAGAAGAAAGAAGAGAATGAGTAGCTAGCTACCTTGGCTACGAACGTATGTATATATGCACACCAAGGTTTTAAATAGCGGGCTAAAACATTTATGGCACTGTAGCTATAGCGGAGCTATAGCGGAGATTTAGCGGGATTTAGCGGCTAAATTGCACATGAATACAAATAGCGGCACGCTGCCAAAAAAAGCTATTTCTCAAATAGCGGCAACTTTAGCGAGCTATTTATTTCCTTGATGCACACGCAATCAGTTTCTAATACTTATCTCGAGAAATGCTATGGTTCCGTTACGGAATCATTCCGTCGGGGTTTGTAACCGTTAGATCATCATGTAACCGTCGATAGTTGATTCAACGGTTACAAATCTCGACGGAATGGTTCCGTAACGAGACCGTAGCATCTCCCTACTTTTCCCTATTTCAATGTTACTGAAAAATTATTAAATCTATTGTGAAAAATGGGGGAAAAAAAATTTTGAATCCTAAGCTCAACTATCTTATTCATAAACTATTCAATAATTTACCATTTTTAATGTCCATTAATTCTTAAGGTGTGGGTTTTGGTACATAGAACAACTAATATTTTATGTTAATTATATTTCGTAAAAATAAATAAATAAATAAATAAATAAATAACAAGAATAGAAATTAAGGGATATGGAATTTGAAACGGGAATTCTAAAACGAATGCACAAACCTAAAATAAGTTGAGAGGTTTTCCGGACATAGAAACTAGGACTTAAATAAGGGAAAATGTTAAGGTACCGTTACGAAACTATTATGTCGGAGTTTGTAACAGTTAGATCATGTAACCATCAGAGATAGTTGATCTAAAGGTTACAAACTCCGATGGAATGGTTCCGTAACGAGACCGTAGCATCTTCTTTCTTAAAATAAGAGGCGATTTACCCTGTCGTCCTAGGTGGGTGGGTGGGTGGGTGGAAGAGACAAAGCAATGCAGATGATGCAATATTGGGATGAGGCAGAATATTGAGAAGCCACATGATATATGTGCCTCAATTTTGTATATTATTAAAATAAATAGTGAAAATGTTGAAGACAAAAGAGAAGAACAAATGAGAGCCAAACTGCTGTCAATTCAGGCCCACATTATTGCCATGAACAAACAACTGTTAGGATTCAAGTTTTGTGGTTGATGGATTGTGAGAGTACCATGAAAATCTTCATGTGTGTACCTATACCTCTTCATTCAATCATTTATTTATTTATTTATTTATTTATTTATTTATTTATTTAATTATTTATTATTGTTTGTTGTTGTTGTTTGTAATTCTTTTGGGCCATCAAAATTACATTATAGTCAGAACTCAGAGCATTCAAAATGTACCTTTGAATTGGGAATTGGTTTAATTAATTTGAACATATATTACCCACTTTTATAAGTCAAATAACTAGTCCTCAATTTGTATCATTCGATATTTTTTTAGTAATTTATGTCTAGTACTGTGGCCTAGTTCGAACAAGATAAACTAGCTAGCCCTGTTGTGAGAACCGTGCTTGAAAATTGTGTTTGATGTAACTTTTAATATTATATATAGTGCTATCATTTATATTGATGTCATTATAAATTGTGTTGCTGTTTTTAATAAAATACACCTTCATAAAAAAAAAAACATTAAATACAATTAATCACGGCAATTCATATGATTAAAAATTCGCGTTTCTCACTAGTCGTATTTAGGTTTGGTTCTCATTCGAATCACATTGTAAAGTTACTAATTTTGTATTGATTAATATTCTAGAGTTCCAAATTGAAAAAAAAA